GGGGGGGGGGGGTGACAAGAGATGTATGATTGCCTTCATGCACTGGCTAGAGGTGCAGGAGTTCTGCGACAAGGCGCCATCCGCGGCCCGGGGCCCACACAGATGGATTTGCGCGAAGTGTCATCGACTCCGGGTTGCAGGCTCCGAAGCAGCTTCCAGATGCCAGAAGCACGGCATCAAAAGCAGCTCCCGACACCTCCGCCCAGGTGTTTTTACTTGGAATCATGCTCGTGGCCATCGTCGGGGTCCCAGAACCGTCGTCTCTCGCTGCCCTGACGCCCTTGAAGGAGTTCGCACGCGACCTGCCCTAAACCCTAAACCCTAATCTCCAAGCCCAAGCCTTCCTGGTCCGGGGTTCCGATGCTGTTGGACAAGTGCTGGTGGCTTGTGAGTGGATGGAGTAGCCGGCACCGGACCCCACAGACCGAAGAACACGAAAAGACACGCAGTCCTTGGGTATCTTGGGGTTGCAAGTGAGGAAAACAAGCAAGAAGCCTGGCAGAACCCTCAGAAATGCCCAGGATTTCTTACTGCCAGCCCAAAGCCTAGCGGAGATTTGCAACAGCCCAAAACCTAAGGTGGAGATTTGCAGCTAAGAGCGAAAGTCGCAATCGCGATTTGCCCCGAGGCCGTCCTCTCACTGTGCATTTGGCTTGCTTGGTCCGCGAGCGTCTCAATCTTCATGCTGGCACAGAGGTGTCGAGATTGCGGGGCTACAGTTTCCTTCCAATCGCGTATGTCTTCTGATGGGGGAGCTTCCCGCCTAGCCCACCTTTCTAGTGTCTCTGACAGAAGGAGCACTTGGCTTGCAGTCCTGCAAGAATCCCAAAGCTGAATATTTTTTTTTCTGAGGCCTACTCCACTGACATAGCGGCCTTCTACAAGGAAGCCGCATCTGCGGGCGGAGGCAGGGTCTGGCTCTTCCAGGCCTAATCCCAGAGGATTTCACCAAGATGAAGGGGTACATGTATGTCTCTCTCTCTCTCTCTATATATATATATATGCATATGTATATGTATACACACACGCACATAGGCATCCTACTCTTCAGATAGCAGGCTTTGATGTTCTGAAGGTTCCGCCAGACTCTGACGTCTTTTCCCTCACATGGTTGAGTGTCTACTCGTCGTCCCGAAACCGCGTCTTCCGAAAGTTCGAAAGCCAGGTCGATCGGTTTGTCTGTTGTATACATATATATTTATGTAGGTATGTAGGTATGTAGGTATGTAGGTATGTAGGTATGTAGGTATGTAGGTATGTATGTATGTATGTATGTATGTATGTATGTATGTATGTATGTATGTGTATATGCATGTATGTATGT